TATGGATCGCCGAAACGTGAGTAGTGTTCATGCCTGTGCTGAAATAAGCTGTTGTTTTGTTCGACAGGTGGAAGCTATTGTTGAGCATTTCATGTTGTTCACGGTTCCCTCGGCACAATTGTGGACGCCACCATCGCTATTGTCCGATATTGCAGAGAAACAAAATCTGTTGGATCAGCCCGTCGAAGCGACTGAAAGTGATGAACCTCTCGGTGGATCGATACATGAAAAGAGACGTTCCGCCCTCCTAGGACTGCCATCCGAATAACTTGTCTTTCTAGCTTGTGTACTGTAGATAAACCGAAATAAACTATTTTTGAAAGTTTGTTTTCTAGTAGTTATCATCAGTTGCAGGGTCACTTTCCAAGCGTTCACACGGGCTTTCTTCCACAGCTTTTTATATGACCGTATTCTCTCTGGGTCGGTACATCATTCGAACTCAGCAGCACTGGTCACGCCTTTCAGGACTTTCGCGGTTCACACATTCTGTTGCTCCGAGCCCGCTTTTCCCCTGGCTCCCCAAAGAATTGGAGCCAAAGTTTCTTTCCTACAAGAAGCATTTATTTGCCGAATATGAACACTTGACTAATCTTATAGCCAATGGAGCAGGCCAGCAAAGCAATGCAAAGTGAGTTTCGAATTTCGTTTGCTTCTTGTTTACATTTGTTGCAGCAACTACACAATTCCGTATTGTGTTTTTGTGGAGCTTCAGTTAACGGGTCATTGTATCGTCCATGCTATAGGGTTCTCGCATCAATTCTTAGGTTCATACCAACCAATCACTGCCATCCGAAAGAACACACTAAGGTGTATTGATCTCATCCGCCTGCGCTCCACTCCGTTAACACGAAACACTACTGACTATGCTTCTCTGGCCGGTATAGTAAAGTGTAGGATAGCATAACTTATATTTCGGTTCGCCTCAAGAGTGTTCATGAGCCCGACAGAATTCCTGGCGGTGACGATCCAAGAAGCCTTTCGAAACACAACAGAGAGCGGTCGTCTTACTGTATGCAGTAACCCTTCCCTCCGAGATGCCACTTCCATGG